AATTTCCTTAATTTACTAAAGTTAGCCCTTTTGAAATCAAAAACCCTAGTCTCAGATTTATTTTTGTTTATCCTTCCATTTAATTTGAACTGAATTAGCTCATGATCACTCGAGCCAAGGTTGTCCCCTACAACCATTTCATCTATGAGGTCCTCGCTACTCACCAAAACCAAATCTAAAATAGCATCCCCCCTTGTTGGTTCAGCAACTACTTGATGAAGGAATTCATCAGCTATCACATCTAGGAAAATCTGAGCTCTATTATTATTACTAGCACTTGTTCTCCAGTCTATATCTGGAAAGTTGAAATCTCCCATGATCACATAAATATTCTATTTGAAGGAGAACTCAGAGCCACTCTTAGCAAAAAGAGTGCTAAATGCATCATGCTCACTGGCATGATACAGGGTAATAGTCCAAAGAACACAAGTGTCATAAGGGATATTTATGACACTTGTTCCTGTAGTTAAAGAAAATCTTCTTTTAATTCCAGATTTATGGAGTGGAAAAAACCCAGAATGCAGCAGATGAAAATAGAGGGAAGTTGATAGCAATGAATATACATTAGTAGTAATGAAATGCAAAAAGCTCCTGTTATGTTCCTTCTGCTGTCCTACTGGTCAGATATTTTTCATTGCTACTTTTAGCTTCCCTTTTAGTTTTTGCATTTCATTACTACTAATGTATATTCATTGCTATCAACTTCCCTCTATTTTCATCTGCTGCATTCTGGGTTTTTTCCACTCCATAAATCTGGAATTAAAAGAAGATTTTCTTTAACTACAGGAACAAGTGTCATAAATATCCCTTATGACACTTGTGTTCTTTGGACTATTACCCTGTATCATGCCAGTGAGCATGATGCATTTAGCACTCTTTTTGCTAAGAGTGGCTCTGAGTTCTCCTTCAAATAGAATATTTGGTTCCCTTGCTCCAGAATTACAGCATTTGCAAACTTTGCACTGTCCATGGGTAGTATTTCTAGTACTTGCCCACCATACTTCACCAGTCTCCCTGAAGACTACAGAATAAACACCTGAATCTGGAGATTGTAGTCAAACTATGTGAGATTTAATATAATGTAAATAAACATTAGGATCTCTGATTTTCAAATGGTTTTATCTCAATCTCCTCCTTCTTGGGATGGACATGAGAAACAAAGCCTCTCCCCTATCTTCATAATAAATCAGAAGTCTAGCCTTCATTTCTCTGTCCCAAGCTGTGTTCAGTCTGCATGTTGGAGACTCAGCTGCAGGTCTGAGCTTTTTATTCTCCTGTTACGATCACCTGGAGAATGTATTTCCTTCTTTCATAGAACCATGGGTTTAGCAAAAGTCTAACCCCTTGCCAAGATCTAGGATTTATTGCATCTAAAACCGCCGAGGCAGATGACACCCGCAGTGAAATAGATTGTGACTTCTCTAAGCACTTTATTCCATTGTCCTATTGTTCTTACAGATAGAAAGTTTTTCCTGAGATTTGGTCTAAATCTGCTATGTTGGAGTTGGAACCTACTGCCTTTTGTCCTGCCCTCTGTGACAAGAGAGAATAATTTTTCTCCCATCTTTTTAGGACAACCTTTTGAGTATTTGAAGATTGCTATCATGTCCCTCTTTAATCTCCTCTTTTCCAAAGCAAACCTACCCACTTCCTTCAGCACTTGCTCATGTGATGTGCATTCCATCCCTTTGATCCTCTTTGTCACTCACCTGTGGACCATTTCTGGTTTCTCTACATTGGAGACCAAAACAGGACACACTGTCAGCTGAGGCCTAGCCAGTGCCGAGTAGAGTAGTACTGTCACCTCTCATGACTTGCCCTGCAGTGCCTCTGTTAATGCAGATTTGTATTTGCTTTTTTCCCGCCACAGCTGTGCATTTCTTACTCACCCTGAGATTATCCACCCTAACTCCCAGATCCTTCTCAGCAGTGCTGCTAAGTCATTCACACACACCCCATGTGAATTTGTGCTTTTGATTTGTATTCCTTAAGTGTAGCACCTTATACTTACCTTTGTTGAATTTCATGCTATTGTCTGTAGCCCAGTTCTGCAATTTATCAAGATCCCTTTGAATTTTCACTCTGTTCTCCAAAGTGTTTGCAGTCAGCATGGTCCCAATTCCAACAGCCATGTCATTAATAAAGGTGTTAAACACCACTGGACCCAGAAGACATCCCTGCAGAGGCCCACTTGAGACTTCCCTCCTGTCTGACATTCCAGCAATGGTTACTCTTTGTTTGCAGTTAACCAGTTATGTTCATCCACCTCATGGCAGGTCTGCTGAGCCCACATTTCTCCAGCTTATTTATGAGAATGCCCTGTGGGACTGTGTGAGAAGCCTTGCTGAAGTCCAAACATTGCATGTCCACTGCCTTCCCCCAGCCACCCAACCCAAGTTACCCTGTCAGAGAAGGAAATCAAGCTGATGTGGCATGATTTGGTAAATTTCTTGGTATATCCATGCTTGTTGCTAATGTCCATTTGTTCATCTTTGCTTTGTGTTTAGATGGATCCTGAGTATCGTGTGAGAAAGTTCCTGGCACTCCTGAGAGAAGAAGGATCGTAAGTACTAGTAATACTTTGAAGGCTGATCCAAGGCCCAGTTTTGCTGTCAAATGTAGGGATTCTCCCTCTTGCCCCCCGACACCAGATGAATTTCAGCAGAGTATCTGACAATGGTACTGGGTTCTTGGGTTTTAATAGCTTTTAATTTCCATTTTGAACCTTCCCTTCCTACTGCATTCTCATTCTCTTCCCCAGTGACTCCCCAGAGGTATTAGGGGACCCGAAGCATATGTGAATGATCAGCCGTTCTTGAATATCTGGAGGAGGCTTTAAATGGTGCCTGACTGATGTGCTGTCTCTAATAGACTCAGTGAGGAGACGCTCCACTGGAGCTGGGGCATCAGAACTGGGCCACTTGCCTGCAGGCTCTGCTTTGTGTTTCTCTCTTTGTCCTGCTGGCAAGCCCACAATGGCAGCAGCATCTCCCAGAAATCTGCTCCTTAATGCGTGCACTTTCATGTCTGGGGTGGGAAGAAGCAGCTTGTGGACATGTCTGCTGGGCACATGCTGTGTCTGTGTCTGTCAGTCTGGCATCGGAGAGACATGCTTTGTGATGGTTGTGGTTTGTTTTTCAGTAGTGTGCTTGACTGAATGGAGATGGACCATGTGCAGAGCTCGGTGGCTAGAGAAGTGACCACGCTACAGAAGAAACAGATCTTTGTTCTTCTGTTCAACACACTGGACGAAGTGAAATGTTCTTCTACCTTCAACATCCCACTTGGAATGTGCATGTTTAGCAAAATAAAATCCCTTCTTTGCTCTTAAATATTCTGATGTCTTGTGAAATGGTCAGTCTCCTTTAGAAATACCTGGCTTCTGTTTCTGTGTGGGCCAAAGTACATTCTCACTCAGTTGTATCATGGAGGAAATGTCCAATGAATTTGGAAGTTAACACTTACATCCAGCATTAAATTAATACCACAACATGGCACTTTTTCTGTAGACAAGTTTTACTTTGAACCTGCAGTGCTGGAGGTGCAGGTGCCAATGCAGTGTGTGTGCGTGTGTGATGTCACTGTCATCGTAGAGATGTCTCCTGTGCCCAGAGGGATTGGCTGTTGAGCCTGTGGTGGAATTACACAGTGGTGCCAGAGAGGATGATATTTCAGCCAGACTGATAGCCAGGGCTCGCTCTTCTGTGAGAATTGCAGCTCAGAGGCATTGCAGTGCCTGCCGTGAGCAGCAGCGCTCAGCCGTGTAGCGGCAACAGCCCCCTTTGACGTTCCCTGAGTTGGCGACTCGGCAGGGCTATGGGCGGTGGTGACTGCAGCTGGCACAAAGACAACGATCCTTTGGAGAATTGTTTGAATTTTTTCACTCAAGCATCTTTGGACTCCTAATGTCAGTTTAGAACCTAAATTTTATGAAAAGCCAGCGTGTGTATTATTGAAGCTAGAACGGCATGAATCAATATAAATACATCCTATTTTCCTGATGAGCTACTGAGGGTTGGAAAAAGTGATCTTTCCTCTCCTCCTTTGAACGGTAGGTATCCAAGTTCCTTTTTCTCACTTCTCAGGATTCTACAGCATACCTTGTGTTGCCAGGGCAGGCTCAGTTTCCATTCTTACACTGTGGTAAAGCATTGCACAGCACCTGCTTGGCACGCTGTCACTGATAACTGAGTGAGAATTCTTTTCCTTCGTTAATGAAATCAGCCCATATTTTGACACAGTGCATGGAGCATGCTGCTAGATTTTCCCCACCCATGGCAGGGTGAGGCAAATAATCAAAGCCATCTGCAGGAACATAAAGCCAATGTGGCTTCACTAGCTACCTAGGGATACTGCGGAAGGCTAGCTGCCCAGATGCTCCAAGAGGTTTTGGAGCAATCTCCTTCTCTGGGAATGTCCTTTGGCCCATGGTTGAAGGCAAAACATTCTCTAGACTTGCTGTGTACTTGAACTTAGCTATTTACTTACCTCCTTGACTTTTCTCTTCTTTGGTCAGTGCTGCTATATTGTGATTTTGAGAGTGCCAGTGGCCAGTATGTATCCTCCCGTATTTGTGTATGATCTTGCAACTTTCATTTGTCCCTTCTTTCCTCCCCAAATTCTATTGAAAGCAGCACACAATGTATTAAGTTATGTCTCAGTTTAAATGATGTAAACATTGTATTGTGTGTTTTGTCCAAAGATATATTGAGAAACATAAATATTATATTGTTTAAATGTAGATCATGGATGCAATAAAAGGCACAAACTTGGAATGACTTGGGAGGCTGAATTGTCCTTGGGAGATGGCTGTGTTGGAGGAGGGAATGGGTCCAGATTGAGAGCTAAATATATTAGCTGCATTTAGGTTTATGGAGGCTTAGTTTAAGATACAGCAGTGACGATCTTGAGAAGCAAAGCTCAGGTCTTTGCAGCAGTTCCCAGGCCAGTTGCAGAGAGTGTAACATGGATTCGGTAGGCAGAGACACCAAGATTAATTGAATTTTTTGATGCCTAATATTTTGGTATCCAACTTAAGACACAATGAAGGGTCTTCATCTTCAGAAAACCTTCACAACCCAGGCTTGGAGCATCCAAGCCCTTTAAGGTCACACTTCGGAAATCCTGGCCGAAATCATTAACTCTTTGGCTGTGGGCAAACAAGGAAATGTTACTGGATTCAGTTTCATCTTTAAAGCCACATTGAGATTAAGCAAATAGGAAATTCCCTTTGCCAATGGAGAGACACTGTGGGACTCAAGTCAGCTGACCCATGCCAGGGAACCCTGGGCGTGACTTTAAACCTAGGTTAAGGATTTTCTGACCCGTGCCTGAATTTAGGGCTGTGGCTTGCACCCCACAGTGCAGAGACCCGAGACAGTGTCGACACACTTAGCCCTCCTTATGTGTTGCACTGTGGAAAACCGCTGCACGAGTATGTAAGCTGCATAATTACAGAACTCTGCACCCCAGGAGCCTGGGAGAAAGTTCTGGGGCTAGCACCTCTCATTGCTCTCACAGTGCACGCAGCCTGGGCACCTCTGCACATGCAGCCCCTTGGACAGCAGGGCGGCACCAAGCAGCTGCTGGCAGGGAGGGGGAGCCGCAGAGTGTGGGTCTCAGCCCACTAGGAAGTAACAACCCCTGACCAGCCAGCTTTGCTCCCTACACAGGCAAGCTTTGCAGAGCAGCAAAAAAGAGCTGGAGGAGGAAATGCCACAGAAGGTTGCAGGGAGGTTTGGGGCCTGGCTCCTGCTTGCCACCCTAACAGTTCATTCTGCCCAGGCCTCCCTGCACATGCAGCTTGGGGAAAGAGGGCCAGAGAGAGGGAGGGAGCAGACAGCTTAGTTCCTGTTCCTCTCTCTTGCCCCCAGGGCTGCATGTGGAGGGGCGCCCAGTCAGTGTGCCCTCAGATCTGGCTCTGCTCTTGTGATCAGGAAGCAGCTCTTTCCAAAAAGCTTCTGTGGATCCATCTGCACTGAAAACCCTGCTGGCAACTGACTGCATCTGTAACTGGTATTCACCAGGCAATGGGCGATGTGAGCAGCTGTCGTTTGCAAAGGGAGATGGGGCTTCCGTTTGCCATGGAGTGTAGTTGGCTGCACCCAAATTGTTGGCATGGAGAAGACTAAGGGAGATGCCGCACAGAATCCTGGGATACATCTTGAGGACTTCCAGGACCCAAGTCAAGCTTTAGGGCTCAGACCCTAGATCCCAGCTTAACACGGACTTAGACCCTCCTGCCCTGCATGTTCTGGGATACGTTTGAGCTCTAGGTTAAGCCAGATAACTCAGGACTGGGTTTATATTGCTGGATGGGCATGCTCACTGGGCCAGCCCAACTAGGCTGTTCTGCAGACTCCATTTAAAGGTGTTCTCGTGTTCTGATATGGGCTGCCTAACAGAGCTTCAGTGGGAGGGGGAGAGGGGAGTGTGCACTGGTGGGAGCTCTGAGTTGTGACCACCAAATAAAACCAGCACCTGTCCAGTGTGTGGGGGAGGAGGGGGCACAAAAATAGAATTTCTAAAAAATGTAGATAATTTTCTAAGAAAAGGGATTGCACCAAACACAAGACCGACCTGTTTTGGGGCTTGTTCAGGATGGTCAATAGCATTAAACTGGATCGTGCCAGGTCACTCCAGCTTCTGCCACCAACGTGGCAACCCCTGCTGCCACTGTCAGGCTCCCGTAATCTTCCGGGTCCTTCCCATTCATAGGATAGTTGGGGTGGCGACTGCGGGGGCCCCTAAAAGTGCGGCTGCCCCGATTCACTGTATGGATGGCCCAGCGGGGCTGGCTGAGGTTTGGCTGTCACAAGTGGTAAGGACAGCTGTGCTGCCGTGATTAGCATAGGGGGCTGCGTGTGCTACATGAAGTGGTGGTATCTTGATGCTAGCAGGAGTGTTGCTCAGTCCCGTAGCGAGCTGCCAGTTGACGCTGATCTCTCAAGGCTCCATAACAAGTGAACAACACAGGCTCTCGGGGTCCATTTAAGTTAATTTACCTTCTCTTTAATGTCTTAACAGGGCAACAACAAAAAGCAGGTTGAAATATATTTTTCTCCAAATATATATAGATTTAGATATTTATATAATATATAATCTTAGTTAACTCAAAGGTATATACATTGTATAATAAATAATGCTCATAGAAAGAGAATTTTCTGAATATAAAATTTTAAAAATCAACAACCTCTACAACTTTGTACAAAACTTTGGATACAGCAGGCAGATGGGTAGGATTTTCCAGTCTGTACTAGAATAATGGGTTACAGGAGAAATAATTACAAGGCAATAAATGTGCTTTTTATTAAATATCTTTTTTCTTGATTAAAAAAAGGAAGGAACTTTGTTTAAAGTCATGTACTTGAAGTATTCAGCCTGTTCCCTGTGAGTGGGGGGAGGGGAGAGCATCGAGGCCGGGTGTGCTAGTAAGTCAGCCAGTGTTCGCAAACACTAGCAGCGGAGACAGCAATGGCATTGGGATTATGGTAGCAGCCAGCAGCAAAAGCAGCTGTTAGTGTACTAGCTGGAAACCCTCCTAGAGCAAGCTGGAGCTAGGTGCTGGGAAAGGACCGGGTGTGATGAAAAGCTAAAAATCAGTCATTAGGTGACCTGAGGTGGCTATGGTGCATCTAAAGCACTGAGCTGCCTTCTTCCAGCCTGGGAGACATCTCTTAGTAGGGCCCAACCAAATTCAGAGCCATGAAAAATGCATCATGGCCCATGAAATCTGGTGTTTTGTGAGCGTTTGCCCTTTGATACAGACTTCCTGGGGTGATGGGAGTTTGTCAAATTGGGGGTCCTGGCCCAAAAGGGAGCTGTTGGCAGGCCCCAAGGCTATTTCAGGGGAATCACAGGGTTGCCACCCATTCTAATAGTCGCCTTCGGAACTGGATGGCCACAGAGCAACAGCTGCTGTGCCAGGTGCCCAGTTTGAAGGCCGCGCCCCATCAGAGGTAAGGGTGGCAATACCATCTCACGCCACCCTCAGTGCTGCTGCTTTCAGAGTGGCAGCTGCTGACTGAGGCCCCAGCTCTGCCACCAGCAGTACAGAAGGGTCGGCAATACTATACCAAGCCATCCTGCCTTCTGTGCTGCTGCTGGCAGCGAGCTCTGCCTCCCAGCCAGCAGCCACCACTCTTCAGCTGCCCAACACTGAAGGCAGCGCTGCCACCAGCAGCAGCTGAGAAGAAAGGGAAGCAGCGCTGCATTCTCCCATCATAACCTTGTCATTCCCCAGCTCTTCTTTGGGTCAGCACCCCGACAGTTACAGCACCCTGAAACTTCAAATGATGAAATGATGAAATGTAGTCTCTTAATATCCTATGGCCATGAAATGGACCAAAATGTACTGAATTGGGTAGGGCCCATGGAAGAGTCTCACACACAGAAGCTAAACTTCAGCTTTGCTCTCAGTTTGGCTGGGGATTCGTGAAGGGAACACTTGCCTCAATATACCTCATGGCCCAGTTTCAGGTACATTTTGGCTTTCCTGTTATGCATGAGGCCACTGTGTGAGGATGATCCCAGGTTGAGTGAGACACTGGCTGGCCCCCTGCTCTGGCATGACGTCCCCTCGGCTGGCAACCGGCCATGCTGTTACTTGCAGGTGTGGACGTCGTAGATGCGGACGCACTCCTGGCAGCTCACGTAGCAGCACCAGTGGAAGATGCAGTGGCACTTCTCTTTCCGCTTCTCAGTCCTGGTGTTGTGTCCACGCCCACAGCAGAGCAAGTCGCACCCATCGATCCCATGGGAGGTGACATTGCACATTCTGTCTCTGGTCCCAAAGGAGCCGGTCTCTGGGTTGGGCTCACAGAAATTAGGGGAATTCTCATAGTATACCAGGTCTCGCTCTGTGGGGGGCTTGAAGAGCGCATACTTGGCCCTCAGGGTTTCTACCCAGCCCCGCGACTCACGGTGCTTCTCCACCACCATTTCGGAGGCACTGTCATACTTGTCTTTAAGGTAGTCACCAATGGCCCGAAAATCTGGCTGCGCCCACCAGCAGGTCTTCACCTCGCAGCTTCCTGAGAGACCATGACACTTGCACTTCAGGTGCATGTGATCCAGGATCGTCTGTCCGGAAGACAAGAAGGTCACAGTCAGCCTGGCAGCACCATCCCCACCTATGTGCTTTCAAATTGAAGTTGCATGGACTTAGCCCAGCTCTGAACTTAGCATGGGCTGAACGCTGCTTGCATCTGATTTCGAAATGCCCTTTATTGCCCATGCCATGGAACCCCTGTGCATGGCAGCTGCATCAAGGAAAAAGCGACGAGGAGTCCTGTGGCACCTTATAGACTAACTGAAGTGTTGGAGCATAAGCTTTCATGGGCAAAGTCCCACTTCGTACCCAAGACATGCATCTGACGAAGTGGGTCTTTGCCCACGAAAGCTTCTGCTCCAACACTTCGGTTAGTCTATAAGGTGACACAGGACTCCTCGCCGCTTTTGCGGTTTCAGACTAACACGGCTACCCCTCTGATACTTGACATCGAGGAACAAGGTTCTGGAGTTATGCCTCAGGACCATGAGTTCTAATCACAGGTTTGCAATAGGAACATAAGACTGGGCCATCAAGTCCAGTTCCCTGCTATTAGAGGCCATCCCATCATAGAATCTTGTGCATACATTTATCACGATCCATCCTAAAACCAGGTAGGTTTCTTGCTCCTGATATACTTTGTCCAGAGCCTCACTCCCCTGCAAGCCCAACAGACTTGCTGCGTGTCCTTGGGCAAGTCACATAGCCCCAAATGCAGCTAATGACCCAGTCTGGGCTGCCCATTCTGAGATGGCTCATGGAACCAGCACCTCTCTTTGGCCTCAACCGGAGTTGCATGGACACAACCTCTGAAAATCAGGGCCTGTGTGAAAAATGCTGCTTAAAGCCTCTCGGGTTCCTCCACCATCCGATGCAGAGAACGTCAATGTCTCCCAGCCGCGTGCGGTGCTACGCGTTCCACTGCGGAGACAAGATGCAGATTACATCCTGCTGCCACAAGACTCTACTTGAGGTTTATTTCAACTGTCCCAAAGCAGCCAGCTGTGCTGTGACATGTGAAGGCTGAAGGAACAAAAACGTTTTGTATCAGAGACGCAGAAGCAACCACATAAATATCCAGCCAAATCTGAACCTTCAGGACTCTGCCCATCAGTGATGTTTGGCAGCACAGAGAGTTAAGTGATTCCCAAATGCCTCCCAGCCCCAGCTAGAGACCAAGCAGCACAACTCTAATCTGCATTTACCTGGGGCTATCCATCCCAGCGCTTTACAAACACGGCGGGATTTAGACTCATGCCCTCCTATTAGCCCTCTCATGCACTTGGGGAAACGCAGACAAGGAGGCATGAACTGACTAGCGGAATGCCCCACAGTCTCTCAGAAGACTAGGAACAGAAGAGGCAGAGGCTGCGTGCCACATCTTAACCAACATGACACCCCTTTGTTCTTGCACACACTGTCACAAAAAGAGGAGGCAGCTTGTAATTCTAATGATTGGTTTCTGCAAAAAACTGTCACTAGGCAGAACCAGCAGCAAAGAAATCATCCTAGCATGAAGTGGGAAATCAAGGCTACCTATGATCAAGGCCTTGGATTAGGGGCTGGATTGCCAGTGTCTTGCGATGAAAAGATTTGAGTTACAGAGAACCAAGCTGGCTCATGTGCAGACTCTGGTAAAGCCTGAAGGGAGAGAAAAGCCTTTGCTTTGTGTGTTCAATGGTTGTGTGTTAGGCTACAGCTGGGCAGAGGGGAAACAACCCTTAATAAATAGCACATTTGATTAGTGTTGCCTTTTTTAAACCTGCCTGGGAAGAAAGTGAGTTTGTCACTAGCTGAAGCTAGTCACAGAACAGCTGTTCAGAATACTTAGTCTGCAGCACAGTGGCATGCTGGGTCACTGACCTAGAGCAGAGGGGAAGGCACCAGGGCTCTGCATTAGCCCATAATTAGGCCATTGTCCCATCATTAGGAGCGCTCCTACAAGTGAAGAGCTTCCTACCCTGCCTGGCTTCTCCCCATCTCCTGTCCCCGCAGCACCCTGCCAGAATGGGCAACATGGAAAACAAGTGACGGAGAGCACCCTGCTCCACGTGTTCGTCTTTCAGGTGCTACCTTAGGAGTTAAGAAGGTTCCTTGATTCAGATCTGCTACTGTGACCAGCACTGGAACGCTCTCATCCTAGGAGCATGGTGCATCAGGGGAGTTAGCCCCCCACCTTGTTTTAATCTGCCCCAGCCAGTGTGAAGGGTCATATTGGGTCAGTCCATGCAGATGATCCATCTTCCATTGATGTAGTGGGAGCTGAATCAGGCTATAGGCACATTCCAGGGGACTACAGAGGGTGGGGGCACTCACCGTTCTCCCTGCTTCATTATTGTGCCTGTTCATGGCTGATCGGGCATCGGGTCGGTTCTCTCGGGCATCTGCAAACTCCCGGGAAACCAGAACACCAAAGTCAGCATCCTCGCTGCAGCCACCCCATTTCCAGCCATCACCTGGTGGCCCTTTGTGGTGCGAGTCGCAGCCGCAGATGGTGGAGGTGCCCTCAGCACAGGAGCGGGTGACAGCGAAGGCCACACCAGCTGAAGCAATTGCATGGACAAAGGCAGACTCTCGCGTGGCTGCAAAGAGACAGGATTTGCCTGTGAGATGATGTGCTAAGTTAGCGTTTAGCTGGTTCCCTTCCCCAAGAACTCACCAACTTGGGTGAATCTTTTTTTAAAGGTTATTTATTAATTTAAAAAATTCCCAAAACCAAGCCATTCCTTAATGAACGAGTGCTAGAGCAAGTGCATAGCCGGGGCCCTGGTTCTAGTACCTCTGTGCATGGCATGGGGAAGCCTGACACTGGAATACTGTCTAGTTATGGTGTCTACCTTCAACAAAACTAAAGTCCATCTGCATAGAGTTCAGCAAAGAGCTGCAAGAATGGTACCTGTGCTGGAACAGGGGCCATCCAGGGTGATACTAAAGGCACTCTGTCTCTCAGGTTAAGTCAAGACTAAACGTTGCCTTTTCCCTGGTCTATGTGTAGCCCTAAACAATGAGAAACTGATGATCGGGGACAAAGGTCTAACGAGATCTAATGGCTGGAAGCTGAATCTAAACATCTAGTCTAGACATGAGGGTCCATTTTTTCAATGGTTTGGGTGATTAACCATTGAAACAGATTCTGTAGGGTGCATGAAATCTTTAAACCCAGCCTGCTTGTTTTCCAAACCAATGGGTTTGACACAAGCAGATAGTCCAGGCTCCAGGCAGGGGCCACTTAGGGAAATACTCTGTCTAGGGTAACACAGAAGCGGAGACTAGATGGTCATAAGTGCATAGATCCCACGGCCATTGTGCTCATCCCGCCTAATGCCTGCTCTCAAGTACCCCTACGGCACATGGTTAGACAAACAGCCAATCTGCCTTTCCAAATGGTCAGGGGTGGAGAACGGGCCACTCAATGTGCAGCAGCAGACAAGTAAGCAAACAGAATATTAGGAATCATTAAAAAAGCGATAGAGGATAAGACAGAGAGTCTCTTATTGCTTCTATATAAATCCATGGCACGCCCACATCTTGAATATTGCGTACAGATGTGCTCACTTCATCTCAAAAAAAATATATTGGCATTGGAAAAGGTTCAGAAAAGGGCAACAGAAATTACTAGGGGTTTTGAACAGGTGCCATATGAAGAGAGATTTAAAAAGACTGGGGCTTTTCATCTTAGAAAAGAGGAGAGTAAGGGGGGATACGATAGAGGTCTATAAAATCAGGTCTGGTGAATAAGGAAAAGTTATTTACTTGTTCCCATAACATAAAAACTAGGGGGTCACCAAATGAAATTAAGAGGTAGCAGGTTTAAAACAAACAAAAGGAAGTTTTTCTTCATGCAGAGCACAGTTAACCTGTGGAACTCCTTGCCAGAGGATTCAATGAAGACCAGGACTTTAACAGACTTCTAAAGAATTAGATACATTCCTGGAGGTTAGGTCCATTGATACTTATTAGCCAAAAATGGGTAGGAATGGTGTCCCTAGCCTCTGTTTATTAGGGGCTGGAAATGAATGACAGGAGAGGAATCACTTGATGATTCCCCTTTTTCTGTTCATTCCCTCTGGGGCATCTGGCATTGGTCACTGTCGGCAGGCAGGACATCGGACTGGATGGACCTTTGGTCTGACCCAGTGTGGCCATTCTTATATTCTTACATTCTTATGACACTTCCAGCCTGAAAACCTCTGAATGGGAGAGAGCGTTTGGCTGAGAGGCTTCATGGCAGAACAGCTCCCCCCCAGCCATTAACCTCCCCCCCCCCCATGCTTGACTCAACTCTCACAGGTTGCAGCTGGCAATAGCAATCACTGCAGCAAAGGGGATAAGGGGGCAATCTTGGCCTTGAACCAGAGCACAGGAGGCTCTAAAGGTCTGGAAAATAAGCCAACAAGTAGCAATCTTCATCTTCTGGGCATTCCACGGGTTTTCACAGCTAGACCGACCCTGGCTGTGCGTCTGTGAATGCTCCCAGCAACTCAGTGCAAAGAACAAGGCGGGAAAACATCCCCTGCCCTGCTAGAAAGGCCAGCTGGCAGCACTCCAGCCATGAGGCAGTGATGGATGCAGAGTTCCAGCACACAGGATGGAAAGTCAGGCCTGGCTACCTTTGGCAAGTCCCCTCCCTAGCTCACCCCTCCCCAGTGTAGCAGGTACCCTGGTGGGAGTCGGCCACCAGCCTGGCAGATTGCTGCCGTGCTGTTCACATTCATTCCCTGCAACCCAGCAATCCCCCAGCACCGTTCTTCTCCTGGCTGAAGTTCTAAATACCTGGCCTGCTGCTTTTCTGTGAACCACACCTTTCAAACCCTCAGCCTTGCTGCTGCAGGGCCAGGCACTTGTGCTGTGGTCTGCCTGGTGCAGGTCCCTCGCTGCCTGCCCAGGGAGAGCTACTTTAGGGCTTATTTTGTTTTCATTTTAAAATAAGTTAATTCAGGTTGAAAGCCCCTTTTCTTGTGTCTCACTCAGCTGGGGGCTGCAGCGTACTGAGATGCACGGGGTCATTGTTCACCAGTGCACCATTGAGCCCAGCAGAGAAACCAAAGCCCCTGCTGTCAGACTGGACAGGAACATGCCATTTGGTTCTGTAATTGTAGCAGGGTCCTGCACCGACAGTAATTTATGCATCAGCAAAGTATTGGAAAGAAAATTTGCTTGGACAAGTTGTGCTCGGGCACGTGGAGGGACTTAGAGACGCTGGAGGGCTTGGGTCGCGACTCAGGTAGCAAGCTCCATGTCGCTAACATTGCTCAGAGATTGAGGGGGCCACTCTAAAGAGAGTGGAATGAGTAATAGCAGAGCAAGGAGAGAGGAGAACAGAGGTGTGGTGAGTCTGCTAAGCAGGGGCCTACCATTCCCATCAGCCCAGGGGGTGAAGAGGGAGACATGACAGCACATCCCCATCCAGGGCGAGGGAGCAGACATTCAGTGGAAAGCGTTGCGATACCCCTTCACTGAGCCTGGTCTGGCCCCCTGCATGTGCCTAGTGGCATGGAGCGCAGAGGGCAACCCAGGCATTAAGCCAGGAGCGCTCTAACCAGAGAGTCACAGGGCTGGAAGAGACCTCAGGAGTCATCGAGTCGAGCCCCTGCTCTAGGCAGGGCCAATCCCAACTAAATCAACCCAGCCAGGGCTTTGTCAAGCCGAGACGTAAACACCTCTAGGGATGGAGACTCCTTCTGCTGGGCTGCTCCCCAGATGTCCATATAGGACCTGTTCATTTCACTTTGGGCCGTAACTCCTTAACCAGGCGCATGGGGGGGTCCACTGTCTGTTGCCTTCTTGCCAGACGTATGGTGACCATCCAGGACCGGCCTTTAATTTAGGTGAAGGTGTCCTGCTTTTAAAAAAAAAATGGGCAAATTGTCCTGTAGGTTGCACAGCAGGGACCAGCTGTTTAAAGAGCCAGCTGGGGACCACTCTAAACAGAGCCCACGTGCTGGGCAGCCTACCTGCTGGCTCTGGCATGTACTGTTGCCAGTAGCCTCTGGGGAAAATCCAGGGGATATCTCATACTGCTGCCAGCTTCCCAGCAGCTATGCCCCCAGGTGGCGGTCCACAGCTCCCTTGGGCAGCAGTTAATGTAGGTAACGCAGCCTCAGGGCTCCCCCAAAGTCTCCCCCTTCCATCCGTGTGCCCTGACTCCTGCACACAACCCAGCCTCCTGTCCTGGCTCCTGCACCCCACCCCTGCCCTGCCCTCCTCCCTCCACATTCAGCCCTCCACCCCCCCTGACACAGCCCCCTGCCCTCACTCCTGCCCCCCCACCCCCAGCTCCCTGCCCTCCCCCCCACACACAGCCCCTGCCCTCACTCCTGCCCCCCCACCCCCAGCTCCCTGCCCTCCCCCCCACACACAGCCCCTGCCCTCACTCCTGCCCCCCCACCCCCAGCTCCCTGCCCTCCCCCCCACACACAGCCCCTGCCCTCACTCCTGCCCCCCCACCCCCAGCTCCCTGCCCTCCCCCCCACACACAGCCCCTGCCCTCACTCCTGCCCCCCCACCCCCAGCTCCCTGCCCTCCCCCCCACACACAGCCCCTGCCCTCACTCCTGCCCCCCCACCCCCAGCTCCCTGCCCTCCCCCCCACACACAGCCCCTGCCCTCACTCCTGCCCCCCCACCCCCAGCTCCCTGCCCTCCCCCCCACACACAGCCCCTGCCCTCACTCCTGCCCCCCCACCCCCAGCTCCCTGCCCTCCCCCCCACACACAGCCCCTGCCCTCACTCCTGCCCCCCCACCCCCAGCTCCCTGCCCTCCCCCCCACACACAGCCCCTGCCCTCACTCCTGCCCCCCCACCCCCAGCTCCCTGCCCTCCCCCCCACACACAGCCCCTGCCCTCACTCCTGCCCCCCCACCCCCAGCTCCCTGCCCTCCCCCCCACACACAGCCCCTGCCCTCACTCCTGCCCCCCCACCCCCAGCTCCCTGCCCTCCCCCCCACACACAGCCCCTGCCCTCACTCCTGCCCCCCCACCCCCAGCTCCCTGCCCTCCCCCCCACACACAGCCCCTGCCCTCACTCCTGCCCCCCCACCCCCAGCTCCCTGCCCTCCCCCCCACACACAGCCCCTGCCCTCACTCCTGCACCCCCACCCCCCAGCTCCCTGCCCTCACACTACCAGGCCACACTGTGGAGGACTGCAAGAAGGCACTTCTAAAGAGCAGTAACCACTTAATTGTAATTCTATGTTTAATTTTGTGCCTGTTTTAGTTATCATAATGCGGTTCGTCTTTTTAATGGGTGTGCACTCCAGTTAATGTTATTTTGAACATTTCTACTGCATAGTTCTGATTGCTATTGAACTTGCTTAAATCTGAGCAATTTTACCAGGTGTTCCATAGTTGGCATAGGGAAACATGGTTCCTCTAGCCAGATGGCATGTGGCCAAGCATCACTGAGGTTACTGGAACCCACCGGGGGGGGGGTCACACCACTAGGGCCTAGCAGTAGTAGTGCTTGTAGCACATGCACCCAGCACATGGTGCACTCCAGCTGTGAGCCCCCTTAAGAGCTGTGGGGGAGCGTTAGCAATGGAGTTCCAAGGAGAACAGTTGACCAGGCTAAGGGCAAAAAGAGGG